GTGTATTAAATTTACACAGTTTGAAAATTGAACAAAAAAAAATCCCAAGATTTTCAAGTGAAAATTTGTGCAATTTTGCCAATGCATTCCTGGTGAGCACCAATATGTAACTCCAAATTTGCTGCTCAAAATCAAAACTAAAAAAGTAAACACATTCTCTGCCATATTTAAGATTTGTTCATGACTTGTATTCATAAAGTGTTGTGTAAATGTGATAAAAAGCTGTTGATTCTTACCTCATACAGTGATAGTGAATATTTATTATGCAAATAAAAACAAATAAATGTTATCATGCTGTTGCTACAAATGCATACCAAATAAAATTGAAAATATCATCCTCGTATATTTGAATAAAAAAGTATATACCTCGGAGTGTGCCTGTCTATCGTCCACGGGAGCCATAGTTAATTAAGTCACTACAATACACACAATAAGCTTTGCCTGCTACGTCTGGTTTCTTCAAAAATTGCCCAAGAGCTTTTGTAACTTCGTCGAACTTGGAACCAATTTTAACCTTTACAGTGACTTTTCTGTCAAGCCAGTCCAATCGGAATTTATTCTTGACATTTGAGTCAATTTCTAGGATTAAAGACTCCTGATCTTTCGTCAAAAATTTCATAATTCGGCTCAAAACGATCCCAGAACAATGAATTTGCGAGACGAACAGGCCGCCATGAATCAGGTAAAACAATATGTTACATGCAATTTGATTGGTCCAATCGCTTGTAGTTAACCAATCGCTGGGCCGTTTATAATCGAGCTAAGACTTCCGCAACAAATAATGCCTTCAGTGATCTGATTAGTTGAAGCTTTCATACACGTCCAATCGCAGGGCTGTTTACAAACGGAAAACGGAGAGACTGTTCGGGAGAGCTCGTGAAAACTCGACGATAAGGTACCTGACCGCCCCTAAAATTTTCTCAACGGATTTAGACGATTCACAAAAATGATCAATTTAAGAAATAAAACGGCGGATTTCCGCGGATCCGCGGAAAATTGCCATGTATGTGAAGGAAATATTTAAATCTTTGCATTTTTTTTTCCAAACTGTTTAACCAGATTTACCTCACATTTGCTCTGAAGTTTATTTAGGCCTTCATGATGTTGCAAGACCAAGTTTATGTATTTTAACGAAAACCTGCTGCACTGTTTGGGAAGAAAACGACACAAATTTCTCTGGAGCCCTACTCTAAACTTAACAGGACGTTGGCTATTTTTAATTTCCTTGAAAATTTTGCCTCATTTTTGGCATTTTACAGATATTTACATATTTTGTAAACGTAGCTTTTAATCTGATGTACTTTATTCAAAAAAATTCCAATTCCTATGTGCCAGTACCTCAATGTTCCCAGGGCTGTGAGGGCCCTATACAACTGTTCGCGCATTAATCGGGCCTCGGCCTGGTGAAATTTTAATGTTAAAGTTCTCATACACATTTACGAAAAAACTGCGCCACCTTCACTGGGAAACAAAATTTAATGGCAGTATATTTGACCTAGGACTACGAAAAATTGCACGTGTAGCACACCAGGACCTAAAAATTAGTCAATTTCAGCCAAATGCGAAGATGTACAAGAAGGGAGCTATCATTTCTCTTTTTAATGTCTAATTTTGGCCTGTTTTTTGGACATTTACAGGGGTCATACTTTTGCGGTCTTGTCCTCGAGGGTTCATCCTACTGACTTCAGACTTGGACTGTACCATCTCAAGACCTGGAAGAACCAGAGGGGGAAAAAAAAATCTGGAATTTTTGAAATACGATATGATGGGGCGGGGCATTCAATTTTGGTTTCATAGTTCCTTCGCCAAAAATATCAGAAATGCTTTATAACTCCCCTGCACATGCCCCACCCAAAATAATCCCAAATTTCATGAGTATGAATTGTCATGGCCTGAAGTCATCCACATGACAATATTTTATGATATTTATTGCACTTATTTTATATTTTAATTTACTGCATTGAGCACATTGAACACATCCGACTGACGCTGACCATGCTCAAGGCCGAACATTGTTACTTGATGGCAAAGGGCGTGGTCAATACCATGCTAAAAAGTCTGATGCTTGACCACGACATTAAAAGCTGCTGTAACTTGACTCGGATGATCCTATCCTCTCAAATTGTCACAGATTTGATGATCGTCCAGGCCTGAAGACATCTACGAACTTCTTTTTCATTGTGGTTGTAGCGCCAACTACTGGCAAAATGAAATGTTATTTTTTGATTTTTTCCGAACAGCAGGTTCATCATATCTACCTTACATTGCTCGGAAGAGTGTTTAGGCCTTCAAGATATAGGCAATGACAATAAACTACACCGTCTTTTGTAAATAACAGTCGTACCTCTACTTACAGGCGGCCCGGTGGTCCAGTGGTTAACTCCCTGTGTGGAGTTTGCATGTTCTCCCTGGGCCTGTGTGGTTTTTCTCCGGGTACTCCGATTTCCTCCCACTTTCCAAAAACATGCATGGCAGGCTGATTGAACACTCTAATTGGTCCCTAGTTGTGAGTGGGAGTGCGGATGGTTGTTCGTTTCTGTGTGCCGTGTGGCAACCGGTTCAGGGTGTCCCCTGCCTACTGCCCAAAGACAGCTGGGATAGGCTCCAGCACCCCCCGCGACCCTTGTGAGGATAAGTGGATCGGAAAATGGATGGATGGATGTTTCATAAAACATAAACATGCATCAAAATATGTAACAAATACATGTTAAAATTAGATTATTTCACAATATATTACAGTTGTGCAAAATGTAACAAACAAAGAATAAAGAATAAAAATGATAGTCATTTAACTTTTAACTGCGTCCTCATCGTTTTTTTGCCCTCTTTAGTCCATGTTCTCTCTCAGAGTGTTTTTTCCTGGTGTTTTGTAAAGAACCAATCCAAGGACGTTCGCTTTTGTCACCTTTTAATCATCCTTCAAAAATGTCCAAGGCATCGTGAGCGATTGCCGAATGGTGAACACTTTTTCTGGGTGATTCACATTTACGTAAAACTATTGGAACACCTCATGGCCTGAGGGGCGAATGACGAGGATGCTGCATAGATGCAAACGGGGGGGTCCCTCTTAGCCAATGGGATGCCAGGATGATGCTCGGTAATAGCCAATAGCAGAGCAGCTATAAATATGTTGTATTCAGGAAACTCGGAGCTGCGAGTAGCAGGCCATACTGTATTTTTACCTTTCGTGTCTTGAAATTTATTTCGGAACAAGAGGCAATATTTTCCTGTTGAGGCGTTTCATATCTTAAACATTTCGTATGAAGAGACGTTCATAAGTAGAGGTACCACTGTAGTTGTAAGCTTTTGTACATCGTTCAGTCCTCCTCCAAGGTTACGCCCCCCCCCAAATTATGAAATGTATTATTTCTTTTTAACCAAGAAAAACAATTTTAATATTCATGATCAATTATGAATTTTTTAAAAATGTACTTGTGAAATGGCGCTGACAAAGGGTATTCCAGAAACCCCCTGAACAACACAGTTTGTTGTTTTATCATATACTGTAGATTTCATCCATTACACGAAGAAGCCTGACTTTAGATGTAGTAGCATGTATCCAACATTGTTTTGGTTGTGTGAACTTTGACATTTAAACGGAAAAAGAAAAACAGGTCTCGCCATATTGTAAATAGAATTTACACAAGTACATCTGAAATGAAAGAGGTATGTAGGTATAATAAGAGGTATAATTCGAACAACGTCAATGTTGTGAGGATTTGTTTAAACGTAAGACAATAAGTGAGTATTCGCTGCGTCGAACCTTGACAAAAGGGAAGTCACCAGGATTCGAGCAAAGGAGCGAGAGGCCAGGCTACAGCAAGACACCTTAAAAGGTATGAGAGTTCTGTGCTGCGCTCTCATTTGTGGTCATCTCCCAACCCAGAAGTTGGGGGTTCAATCCCCGGCCATTGCAACCATGTCAAAGTATCCTTGAGCAAGACAGTGAACCCCTGGTTGTTCCTGATGCTATGTCATCAGTAGATAAATGAGCTAACAGCGTGAAGTGCTTTGAGTACCAAGTGACAGCCCATTTACCATTTATGAGTCTTGGGTTTTTCCAGCTTGTACGGTTGAAAGACTGGGAGTAAAAGCCCTTTTCTTTCGACGAAACACATACAAGCCTTGTGGAGATGACGGTGCGGCCTCCCCAAATGTGCAAGTGCTCCTGTGTCAAGAGGCCAAACCCATGAGGCACAAGCCATTACTTTTGTTTTCGACATTTTTCCTCCACCTGATACCTACGGCTGTCTGCACCAGTGAGGCCTGCCTGAACATGAGAAGAAATAAATTCATATCTCCAAGTCTATTTGGAGAATACAGAACCAACTCCGACGCATAAATTCAACAACTGAAACATTACCAGCCTATGCTGAGTTGATAGTTTCCAATTAAGGTTTTTGAAAAAGCAGTGAGGTAACTCTAAAATCTCAACTTTGTTCAAGTATAAAGTCATCATCATCCAATTAGGTTTAGTCCCATATTCAAGAATCATTCTCCTCTTTTAGAACTTGGTTTTCTCTGCTTTATTCACCTTTCACTTTCGTCTTCTGTGTTTATCTTATGGTAACCACATTATTTTAACCCTGCATTTAGTCTGTGTGAGTAGTTTAGAAAAAAATCTTTATCTACATATCAAAAATGACTCACGGTGTTGTGAGGATGAATTAAATCATGGCCTCCGCATGAGCAAGAACCTTAGGAAATGAAGTCACCTTCTCACAACCCAATTTCATTCCTGTTTTCGAACAGTAAGTAGAAGGCATCCGTTTACGAATATGCACAGATCTTACCAATAATAGTGTACATTCAGCCGTCTTCTCATACGAATGGAAGAGGAATGTTCACAATCAACTTGCGATCTCCACAGTAAATACTTAACAGTTAACAAAAAGAGTCCATTTTGATTATAGTTGACTCCTACCCAACTGAAGTGTAAAAGGGTACACAGGTTTACAAAGACAGCAAGTGAAGCAGAAGAAAGTATGTGATGTGCCTACCTGTTGGTGCTGTAGTCAATTCCACCCACTTGCTTGCTGGCCTGCAGCAAGTCAAGAATACCTGCCGCACTGCCACTGTTTTTATTTATTTTTGTATTTAAGTAGCAACATTTACCCTCGGGCTTGGCGTCTGTGTCTATATGTAGAGTTTCTTCATCTGAAGAATCAGCACTCTGATTCTAGAAAACAAATTGCAAGTGAATAGACATTCAAAAGAAATAAATAAAACTGACACAGTTGAAAAAACATGTAAATAAATCAAATGCAAATGACTATGCAGAGTGTCATTTGGCAGTGAGAAAACCAATGTTGCGAACCCAAACCCGCCACCCCTTCACCATAAAAAGAACAATACGTGCTTTAACCCCTGTACCTCAACTATTTATTAGAGATGAAAGTGGACTTCCCTGAAAATTCTGGAAAATACATATATAATTTTAACTAATTTACCAGGTTTGGCGACCTTTCTAATGTAGTCGGACAAAAACATCTCCGTTCAAGTCCTTTTCCTCAAGCCATGACCACTTGAACGTGTTCCTAACACTTGCGTCTATTGCACGTATGTCAGCTTGCCTGTCTAACTGTTTGAACATTGCGCTGGGCCCGTACCTGGCCGATCACGCATGAATTAAATACTTGACATTCAATTAATCTGCCTTTTGTGTGCACACGTGCATCCTCTGTGGCTTCCGTTCTCACTGAAATTTCGAAATCTCCGAGATATGGCAAGGCTAAGAGAATGCGAGAGGAGGGGTGTTACTGTTCCTAGTGTTAGTGCCTCAACATGGCTACACTCGTGAAAGCAAAACAACAAACTCAAATGCGTGTTCATTCAATGTTGTCAACTAATATCCGGATTAATTTTAGGCAATTTTTCCTCAATTTTCCGGATGAAATTTCATGAAAATTTGAAAATCCGGAATTCTTTCAGACTTTCATCTCTATTTTTATGGATTTGCGATTATAAGTACGACTTAAATGTCTTAAAAATAGGTTATGGAATGACTTCTATTGATAACTTTCAAAAAATATGTCATTGTGATTCTTCTGTATATGTGGATGTGGCGTAGGAAGACCATAGCCAGATCCTTATCAGTCCAGTTGTACTGTATGCCGAATTTACCACATGTCAGGGCCCGAGACTAACATTTTGTTCTGGTTGCGTTGGCGCTTATGTTTGTTGCACCAAAATTTTTGACCAAAACACATTCACAGTGCTGCCTACCTATTGAAATTTGCTTCCCGGACAATTTATCAAAATCTTCATCCATCAATCGTTTGAATCGCTTATCCTCATGTGGGACGCGGGCATGTTGGAGCCTATCTCAGCTGACTTCAGGCAGTAGGCGGTGTGAACCCTGAACTGGTTGCCAACCAATCGCAGGGCACACAAAGACGAACAACCATTCACACTCAGAATCACACCTTGGATCAATATAGACTGATCAATTGACCAACATGTTTTTGGTTCTGTCCTTCCCCCTGTTAATGATTGCTTTGTTTATGTTCCTCTGGACGGGTTGTAACTAGGAAAGTAAATTCCTTGTGTGTTTTAAATACTTGGTCAATAAATCTGATTCTGATACTGAAAAACTTGTTCTCTGTGGTTTTTTTTTTTTTTTTGGTCCAAAATTGGCTCATTTGGGTGAAACCAATCCATGTTCTACTGCTGATTACAAAAAAAAAACAAGATAATGTAGAAACAAACATTATGTGTGACAAAACAAGCGTCTAATCTTTTGTTCTGTTTCATGTTTACATTGTCATAAAACACAAGTTCCCGTGAGCCTTGAAAGATCAGTCAGATTGGTGTAAATTGTCTGGCACTCAACAGTTATTTGTTCTATAATGGCTGCCATTGAAAGGGTTAATTGTGTTGAACTGTATTTGATGTACAAACAACATTTGCTACAACTTATGCATTTCCATATAGTGGAGAAAAAAAAATTCTTTTTATCCTATCTTATTTTTCACACCAGTTTTTTTTGTAACCAATTTCTTTGTGAGTGACATTAAAATTGAATGAGGACAGCACCAGAAAGACGAGAAGACGCTTATGGTTCTTCTTATGTCAAGGTCAGACGAGACGCAAGTACCCCGATTTTGACCAGACAGTCACACACAAATGTTGATGTCGTGGCCCATGTTGATGTTACTGCGGCTTAGCTCATGTAGTTACATACTGGACAATTGGTCTGGCGTGTAGGACAGTTCACGACCACGACACAAAAAGTTCAGATGTCAGAATTTTTGTCTGTTTTGCCACATAGTGTGGCATGTCCTCCGTCGTCCTATGATTGGTTCCTCGGCATTGACCAACAGTGAGATGGAGCGAATCGCCAGTCACTCCCTGACAAGCCCGCAGATGGAGATGTGTCCCTCAACATATCTCTGTCAGAAAAAGGTGTGGGTCCTTGCTGAAGTTTGAATTTGTTTATTTTGATTATTTTCTGTTTATACCGCATAAATGTTCTTCATCACAGAGCAACATGCAACTGGTATCAAATTTCCAGATCATCAATACAGTTTAAAATAGCCTCCATGTAGTTACATACCTTTGACACCAAGGGCTTGGTCTTTGTTTTTTTGGTTGGTTGTATAGGTGCTCTGATTTCTGACAAAACTGCAAAACAATAATCAGAATTAAAAAAACGATTGACTGTATATGTTTAGTTTCATCAGTGTTTGTTTATTCACAATAATATCCAAATAGTCAGTGGATTTATTGTTTGTGACGTTGAATGAAACTGCCATCAGTCTACTGATGTAGTACTTGACTCATTACTTAAGGCCTTAAATACAAATGTAATTTTCTCACATGCCAAAATGCTTACTATCAACACCTGGCCGTGGTATTTGGGAACCAGGACACACTGGTGAAAATATGGGTACCAGGGCATGAGCAAGACATTTATTGAACAGGGAAAATAAGGTGCTGATGCAATACGACAATGGAGGATACATGCAGAGAATGTGGGAGGCATGGATTCTTCAGAACCCCACATCAGCACTGAGCAGGAAGCCACTGCGGGCTTAGTGTTCAAACATCAACAATAGGAAGTTGCTATCACAGTTGGGGATGGATGAGCTACAGTGTGCATCATCTGCAGTAGATGCTGCGGCACGGGGGAGAGATGATACAAGATAATTCGGGGAGTGGCTACATCATCACCCCAAACATCAAGAGTGGGTTCCAAGCCGCACAATCAGAAACCTCAGTTATCCTAGAGATGCTTGGCTATGAGACGAACAGCCGTAAGAAGCATCGGCCACCTCGGTGGAAGAGAAGGCTTGGGGTAAGCATAAGGCAAAAATAAGGCGATCCGGAGAGAAGTTAGCCTCCTAACAGTGCAAAGCAAATGTTTGAACCTTAAGAACTGCCCAAGGAATATAGGAAGATATGCACAGGTGAGGCATTTCAGACTGCCAAGCAAAGACTTACTGCCTTGAGTACCCGCCTGAAGAGGTACATCAGCGTGGTAAAGGCCATGAGAATTAACTCAATAATGTTCACTAGGTCTCCTATTATTGACAAGGTAGCATCGAAGGTAGACTGAAACAGACCCATCCAAGGCTGAGACAGAGCAATACTGGAAGAGTATCTGGGAGAAGGAAGTGTCGCACAATACCAATGCCCAATGGCTGGCAGACTTACAAGCAGAGCACAGCAACATCCCAGAACAAGAACCAGTACTCATAACAGTGACAGATATCGAAGCAAGAGTATCAAAAATAAAAAGCTGGACAGCACCAGAGCCCAACATGATTCATGCCTACTGGCTAAAGAAGCTAACTGCTCTCTATGAACGCTTGGGAGCACAAATGAATTAGCTGCTAACTCTGTGACACCTGTCATTCACTGAATTACACAGCAAATTGATACAGAAAAAAAAGTTATATATCGAATTCATTTGCAGTGCGTTCACTGCGCTGGATAGGTTTTCTTGTGCGCTAAGAGTGTGCGACCAGTGCGCAGCTGCGCAGCTTAGAGGGAACATTGGTTCCGTTGCATCTCCGATAAACGTAAATCAAAATGAAAGATACCTTTCATTGTATTGCCTCACGTCGGAAACTTTGCTTGTCTCGAAGCATAAGGCAATTTCCCTAGCTGCTGCTGCTCCCTACCAGTATGGAAGAGTACTACATGATTACTCTTCCAGGCGATCAACCGCACAGGCATACATACTGGATAATTTCCTGTGGCACACCTGACAATATCTGTGCCGAGGCACACCACAGGGTTTGAAAAACACTGGAATAGAGGACCCAGAATCAAGACGGCAGACATCGCCAAAGGTGGATGAGAACAGAGTTTTTATATTGATAAAAACTGATTGTGAAGTACTAGATTGTACTGTCGAAGTTTGACGTTCTTGTGGTGATGTATTGAAAGATAAAGGTAACTGTTTGTTGTTGTTTTTTTTTTCCTTTTAGTAATATCCTCAAATACGTGAAATGCTCTTTAATGCTACACATCGGCCTCTTTCCAATCGATACGCGCGGGTATGAGTGTTTGGAAGGCCGATCGTCTGTGAATCTGTCAAGGTGAACGTAGATATAATGTACATTTTTTACACACACACACACACACACACACACACACACACACACACACACACACACACACACACACACACACACACACACACACATTATATACAGTAGCACCTCTACTTACGAACATCTTTTCATACGAAATTCCCAAGTTACGAAACGCTTCAACAGGAAAATATTGCCTCTTGTTACGAAATCATTTTCAAGATACGAAAGGTAAAAATACAGTATGGGCTGCTACTCGCAGCTCCGAGTTTCCAGAACACAACATACTTATAGCTGCTCTGCCTTTGGTTATTGCGGAGCATCATCCTGGCATCACATTGGCCAAGAGGGACCTCCACCGTTTGCATCTGTGAGTGTGGATAGATAGATATGTGTCTATGCAGCGTCCTCATCATTCGCCCCTCAGGCCATGAGGTGTTCCGATAGTTTTACATAAATGTGAATCACCCAGAAAAAGTGTCCACCAGTCGAGCAATCGCTCATTATGATGATGTTTGCCTTGGACATTTTCGAAGGACTGCTACAAGCCGACAAAAGCAAATGTCCTTGTATCGGTTCTTGACAAAATGCCAGACAAAAACCACTTCTGAGAGAGAACATGAACCAAAGAGGGCAAAAAACGATGCGGACGCAGTAAAAAGTTAAATGACCATCATTTTTATTCTTTACAGTATTCTTTGTTTTTTACATTATGAGTTTTATACATTACAACTCAAATTTATTGTGAAATAATCTAATTGTAACATGTATTTGTTACATATTTTGATGCATTTTTATACTTTAGAAAACATCTATGTCTGAATTTGGGGAATCTTGGAACAGATTAGGGCATTTACATGGAAAACGTATCTCTACTAACAAAATCTTCTCGTGAAGAAATTTCTTCTAGAACCAATTAATTTCGTGAACAGAGGTACCACTGTGTGTGTGTGTGTGTGTGTGTGTGTGTGTATATAAATA